GTTGAATTTTTAATCGCTGAATACAAACAATTTTGATGATTAACGCTCGTTCATTCACCAAGGATCTTTATATGCCTATCACACTGGAAAATCAATCATTCTTTCTTTTTTTCACTTTATTTTTTTCTCCTTACGTGAATTTCTCCGTTGCATATATTTTTCGAATTAGCTACTTACATTTATTATATGTTACGTAGGCAATATTTATTTCGACTTAGCTGATACACGAAAATTACAAATAAGTACAGAACAGCGCATTTGAAATCAATATCGAAATATTTAAGAAACAAAGTAAGTCAACTCTGTTTCTTCCAACATTTTTTTCTCAAAAGCTGTTTTTGACAACAGAAATAAATAAATATAAAAATTAAAACGAAACAAGAATGAAATGTTTGTAAAAAAATATATTATCTAATGACATGATTATTGTAATGCTGAAATTGCCTCGCTTCTCAAACTTATCGATTCAATTATCTTACATCCATTTACTCAGTCTTTCACTTTCTTTCTCTCTCTTTTGCTCACCGCATATATACATTTATTTACGTACAGATATATTGTAATATTTATACGTGTCGCAGGAAAAAAAAAAGAAATATACGTTTATATACACCTAGGTATTCTCATGTGTGTTTCCTTAAAACATCTCGATTGGCAGTATGTTAAAAATGTATAATATAATAATTCTCTTCTTTTTTTTTATTACGTACTCATACGTACTCACTCTTTTCGGATACGTGTGCTTGTTTAGCAAGCTCTCGTTTTGCGAATGATTCTCTCGAGCTTTCTCTTTATTTTTTAATTCTCTTATCGTCCATTGTATAATATAAACGTACAATTGACGATGAAGTTTGAAGACAAATTAATTATGTAAAGTGATGTTTCTCGTTTATTTTTCACGAATCGCGCGCGCTTTGATAATTATACTTACTGTTAATATTACAGTAATGATAGTAAACAGCGTTAGTAGCGACGATAGTAGAATAGTTTAGTAACAATAATTGTAGTAATAGAATAATAATAGTAATGATAGTAGTAGCAGCAATAGTAGTAGAAATAGTAACAGTAGTAGTAGTAGCGGTGATAAATCGTAATATAGTAGTAATAGTAGCAGTAGTTACTAGAGTATAATAGAATAAAGTAGCTGTTTTTCATCTCTTTTTCTGTGGATGTTAATTTAATAATGGTATTAGCAGTAATGAGTATTGTAATTCAATTATACGCAGTAATTTACAGGAGTGCTTTTGAAAATTGTATAGTAAGAATTATTTATCTCTTCGTGTCACTGATTCTCTTTCTCTCTTTCCCTTTTACGCGTTTTCTCCAAACTCTCCTATCGTTATCTCGTGACAATTATTCACCCTCTTCTCTCCGTATTCCAAATGCGCATTTCTCGATAGTGGTCCTCATTTCCTGAACTGTTTCCTAATCATTGTTGATTACATCTGCACGACGACGTTTACGTTCATTTTCTTCTTCCTTCTGTTCCTTGAATTTACTCATACGATAACTACAATCTCTCGTATTTCGATTTCACAAGAACCGCGACTATGAACAATATTGGTATCTCATAACGGTTCTTGCGCGTCTCTCTCTCTCTCTCTCTCTCTCTCTCGGCGAAGCAATTTCTAATTATTCGCATTTGATTATACGATCTCGAATTCATGGGATTTTGTCAATAGAGCTGATCTAAATCCTGGCAGAATTATTAGAATCTTTTGTTTCGACTTTCAATCTAACTTCTAATCCTATTAATTCTTTTCTCATTGGTTTCTTTATTTATTGAGAAATATCCGTTTCTGTCCGTTCTGTTCGCACGGCTGAATTTCTGAACGAATCATCCAACGATATTTACAGCGAAGCGAAGAAACAAAACAGATTTTCAGATTTCAAAGTAAAACATCATCATTTCAAATTATTTTGTTTAATTTTTTAATTTTCAAAATTGAAAGTGATGTAAGCCTTATCGAGTCCTGAAACTACTACTATTTCGTCTTTCTATTCTTTCGCTTCAGTCTCTCGTAATTGTCCTTCAATTGTCGTCGTTGAATAATTAACATTACTTACAATCGGCTTTCACGAGTAGAAGTGGAATGATTCGGTACATCAGTCGCGATTTCCGACTAATTATGGGGGAAGGAGGTTTTCTTATGTATGCACGCACAAGGTCATACGAACATACATATATAAATGCACGCGCACGTAAGAAAACATTTCATGGTAATCACAGAGCAATTCAATTCGATGAGTCTCTGCTCCGGAAAATCGTATAAAAAGTAAGTCTTCCTCGAGACGATCTTCGTTCGATCAAGCCGAGATAAGATCGAAATATTAACTCGTGAATATATTATCGAAGGATTTCGAGCTCTCACGTCCGCAATTAATCAATCACTATCATTCACTGCAACCTATCACCTTGTCTCTCGACGTAACCGCTTGCGATTTCGAGCGATTTCGAGAGATTCATCTTCATCGTACATCGTTCGCAATGTAGAATCTTCGACTACAGCGATTAAATAAAATTCATTTTTCAAATCCTTCGCATCAAGTGATCGTTGTTCCCGATACTTTTGATTCGATCTTCAGGCTCCAAGATCGAATCTTCGAGCTCAGTCATTTGATTGCACCTCGATCAATTCGTAAAGTATTCTTTCTTGTTCACGGATTTATGCGACATCAATATATGATAGTTTCTCTGATTTCTCCTGTACGCGAGAAATCGATTTTCTATGTGTATTTGCTGACTTTATTCAATCGCCATGTTTAGCCATCAGAAATTGCTCCGAACATCATTCGCCTGGAATCGTTTGTCTTGTTTTCAACTTAGATCTCTTTCAGTCGCTGCAATACCGTAACTGGAACAATCCCTTCATGAAGCTGTTCTTCGGCTAGTCGAAATCTGAAGGAAATCTCAAGGAACTTCAATCGTGACTCATCGATCGTGATTCTTCCGTATTTTCATATTGAAATCAACGCGTGCCCCACGTAGACGACTATCATGCACAAATCCTGAGGCGCCTGGGGGTATCCACGTTATCGGACCACCATCCAGGGTCCCACTTTGGCTAGCACCAATCGTTCTCGTCACTGTCCGAGTGCCTCGACCTGCTCAAAAACATGATTCGTTTAATCAGAACATTATTATAGTTACAAGCCAAGTGGATTATGTATTTAAAAAATGTGTTGACAAGTGTGGATTAAGATAATTGTAAACTACATAATCTAATAAAATCAATGAACTTTAGAATATAAGCTTCTATTGTATAACTTTTAACTACACTGTCGTTAAGAGTTACAGAATAGAGATCTTAAAAAAAGCATTTTAAGAAAAAGTAGACAAAAATTAACAAATAGTAAGAATAAATAATTGTAATAATGATAAAAAATGAATTCATTCGAAATAGAAGTGGTAAAATCTTTTTACCTAGATGCTCTTTGCTTAGATTGCGGATGTGATTTGTAACTGTTGGGCATCGGGTTGGGTAGTAGACGACCGCGGCCGATCATAACAGCTTGCTCGAAGTTTAACGGATGATGACTCGACTGCACGGAAGGTGGCATGTGCGACGGCGGATGTGGATGCTGTAGAACATGACTGAATACAGGTTCCACATGGGTCAGTCCACTCGGTGTCACGCCATGCGGTTCATGAGTAGGCGAGGCATTCAGCTTGGGGAAGTTGATATTGATCGGTTTCAGCTGTAGGGTCGATGGCTTGTTCGGCGTTGGGGGCAGCCGGCGACCTTGGCCTCTTCTTGCGACCAGCATCGGATAGCTGTGTTGATGCGAATGATGGCGATGATGACGTGGACGACCACTGCCTATCGGGCTCGGGCTCCTCGAACGCTGCTCCAGATTCGTCGTGCCATAATGGCCACGTTCGATCCTGTGAACCGGACTTGGCGACCTGGCCGGACTCATTGACGCGCTCCGTGGACCTAATAATTACGCTTATTAAAATCTTCTGTCTGTACTGTGTACGCATGGCACAATTCCGGCGGGACTTTTTCGACACACGGCGCAAAGATTGCTCGACAAGTAACTCGTAAGCATGTGTTGAAAAGCCATTAGAAACGGATATTGGGGACAATTTTCGAATATTACCAATTTTCAATATTACTGATCGTTCGATTTTCTAATTAAAGGACTTACGATGAAATTAAATTTATCTAGATTCAATTATTCGGTCTTTGTGCGAAATTCGAAGAGCTCGATTTATCGGAAAGGATTCAGGATTGACGAATAAATGACTATTAATATAATGTAGCTCTATTAATATTGATTAACCCTTTAGGACTAATTATAATTTCTTGTTCAAAGAAAAATATCAATTATATTTATTAAATGTGTAGTAATGAAGACTTAATAGTGGAAAATTTAATAATGGAATATATTTCTGTAATATTTTTCTTATTTCTACATTTTGCGAAATTAATCATTATAACTCGGAATATAATTTTTGAAAATTAATAAAAAAGTACCAAATATATGTATTAGTTATCTTGAAATTATCAAATCTGAAGGAGGATTAATGCAATATGCTTGTAATATTTTATATTTGTAATGCTGTGAAATCATTCGAATCACAGTATAATATAATACAAATACATGTCGGTGCTTTAAATATTAACTGTGTTCAAATTCTATGAGGCATCTAACGTAGCATGCGCATACATTCTACGATACTAATTATTAAATTACGGATGCATTATATATATATATATATATCAATAATCGTGATAATTTTATAACAGTTGCGTTATCTTAACAGTGTGCAAAATTCTCTATCTTTCTAATTCTTGCAGACAAACTAAATTATGTTCAATGTAACATTTTATTATTCATATCGTTTCGCCCGAATGCCATTTATGAATTCATTCGTGATACATTCCCATACATTCCCATACGCGGTAATGAAGGAAATTGATTTAAGCGATTATAATGATTATAATTTCATATGGAATTTCATGTAACACTACAGAACATAATTTAACGAAATGCGACGACTAATGATTGAAAAAGCTGTGAACAACGCGTACAAAATCCGCTTAGATTCTCAGATGACTTTTTGTTTATCATTTAATTGTTTATCAATTCTAAAGATGATGTTTTTGCTTCACATCATGACTCGTATCAAGTAGAATAGATTGTGAGGAGATACAAGGACGAAACAATATAATTATTTAAAAAGTAGAGTTTCAAACTAATTAAACACGCTGATGTATAAAAACACGAGTGACATATAAATGATGTCTTTTAAACCCGCATTAACTATTTATAAAATAAGATTTGTGGATTGTATTTAAGAATTGAACACACTATGAAAATAATTACACATTAACATATTATATTAACATATTATAACAACGATCTAATATACTACCTACAACGATCGATTAGTCAATTTTCTTGATTGATTAAAGATTTACTGGATAATGGCGTTTCTAATGTAAAAAGCATCGAGTAACAACCAGAAAAGAAAAGTTTTTGATGAAAACGTGTTGAATATTGATACTATATTAGTGTTGTACATATAAATTGTTTAAAAACTTCTATTGCGTTGACATTTCGTGATGTCTTTTGCATGTGTTTGTGTGTGAGTATACGTGTGAATGCATATCATTCATAAAACGGAACGAAGAAACAGTGAAAGCTAAACGATCGTATTGATTATGTAATAATATCATAATTGCATCGTGGAGACAAGGGAATGAACAAGAGGAGAGTTGTGAAAGAAATTACCATCGTCATAATAGTCGCAGTGGTCGTAATAGTCTGTGTAGGCGAATAACAGAACAGAATGAAGAAACGTATTACATCGAGTATCACACAGAGCTTTTCTGCCTCGAGTAAAATCAACATTATAGCAACATTCATGTTTTTTATAAAACCGTGACCACGAACTCTCTTTCGTTGCTTCCGCTGAACGCCAAACAGATTGTAATCTAACTACAAAATTTAGCAATTGATAATTTTCAAGAATGCAATAGAACGTAAATAATGGCGCTATTTTCGACTTTTGAAACGATAAATATATCATTAAGCCAGTTGAAGATAATCATAATCAATAATAATTAGTAATAACTATATAATAGAAATAACACCAAGAGAATGGAGGTACATCGGTGATACGGTGATAGAGTACAAGGATACTGTTCGCAGTATTCCAGGCTGATAAAAGACAATGAGATAGAGAAACCGGTTTGGGAATGAATAACACGAAACAGAGTTCGCTGTCATAGTGAAAAAATTTATACTCGTTGCACCGTCGTGGCTTTCACTGGTCGGAATTATCACCGGTACGTCGTACCTCGTATCCTATGCCGATGATTATATTGTAACGCATGGGGATGATGAGTGTGCCTTTGTATCTCGACGACGTTGCTAACGGTGTCGCTAAACCCTGGTCCGTCGTGACCATGATGGTTGTATCGACCTTGTCGCCTTGGCGATGGCGATCTAGGCATTATTGGCGATTGTCTTCTGCAAATTATGACAACAACGAATGAGAAAATCATGATACTACTAATGATATAACTAATACATTAGTCATGTTTATAAAAATCAAGTATTGGAAAATCGAAAACTTCATCGTCCTTGATTCAGTAGTTGGAATATACTAAAGTTTAGTTTCCTCGAGTTTAATGTTATACAATATTTTGCTGGAATATATCTTTCATTCTCATTTTGTAGTTTGAAATACGTTAAACTTTCGAATTTCTCTCGTTTCTCAAACACAATCGAAAAATTTGTGTTACATCTCATTTTTAATTCATCTCACGTGTTCTAAACAGTCCACTCAAATTTTTGTGTTAATTTTACATAAAATGAATACATTACTACAAATATTATGTACAGTTAACTCAAAAAACCGTGATACAATTTATAAGCAAATTAAAACTATATATTTTTCCAATAAAATTAGCATATGGCATGTTAAATTAATACGTATTTTATGTTCACTTATTTTAGAATTTATGTTTTAAAATACATTATTTTTATGTTGTTCCTTCACTTACTCAAAATTACGTTATTTTACTAAGAAATTAAATATTAATTTATTATAAATTATTTAAATAACATAATCATATTTAATTAACATTCGAATATATTAAAAATTCAACACAAAATTTTTTTAACGAGAACTTGAGTGGACCGGTTTTTAACACAAATGTAATATTTTTACTGTATATTTTGGACTACAATTGGCTGTCTACAAATGATCCTTCTTTGGAATACTTCATATACATACGTATACGAATAAATTTGCCCGCAATGTGTATGTATACATACCACCTTGATCAAAAAGTTGCCGGAATTATTACCAGGTGATGCTCTGAGTCAGCTGATTTGAGTTCTGTTTTTTTGGTTAGGTTGCCACATCTATCATTGACATTCCCACCAAATTTTATCACCATAGCTTGACATTTGTAAAAGTTACGCCGTCTTGAGTACATCTATCTCTGCACGTATTTTCGATTTTTTTACAAGTTTCGAGTTTTAAAAATGGAATTAAATTTGCAACAACGAATTTGTATTAAATTTTGCGTTAAAAATGGATTCAATGGTGTGAAAACCTTGGAGATGTTGGGAAACTGTTTCGGCAGTGATACTCTAAAGAAAACAACCGTTTATAAGTAGTATGAAAAAACCATTACGGAGAACGCGTTTTAATAGCCGAAAAGAAGTAATGGAAAAATCGAAGACAGCTTTGATGACTATATCGATAATAGAGTTCCAGAAATGTTTCGAGAGTTGGATCAAGCGCGGGCATGAGTGCATTGCAGTCGATGGGGAGTACTTTGAAGGGGACAATATCACTTTTGATGAATAAAACTTGTATTTCGAATTTTCTGAATGAATTCCGGGAACTTTTTGATCAAGATATATATACAGTGCGACTTTTTCTCGAAATTTCTTGTTTATACACTACACTCAATACCTTATACTTGGTGATCGTGAACGTCTAGAGAGGAGCGCCGAGGGATGCGGACGAAGGACATCACCAGGATGTGTAAGACTCTCGAGGCTATCAGCACGCGAATCGGACGGTACGACGTCTTGCAGCTCCTAAACGAGAACAGACTTTCGACTTAGTTTGTCTGTGTAATTCAGAATCGGATTTGGAATCGGGGAGTCGGGGTGTTGTCGGTTCTTTGTCTTTAGCAATATCGCGCTGTCGATTTGCGCGTTCCGAACAAGGAATTATCGTAACACTATTATGCCTTTTGTCTCCAGAATTTAAAAGCAGACGCACGTTTGAGTTATCATTTGGCTCATTTATGTTAGAGTTACCTATGATTAATTAAATGTTATTCATAATGTAGTGAGGAATATGTGCAATTTAGATTAATGAAAATAAGAATTGAATAAATTTAACTTATTGTTTTATTAATAAAATTAATAGCATTAGTAAAATTTTACATTGGCTACCAATTTTATTATTGCAAAATATCACAGTAATTTAATACCATGATGATAATTATATCGATCAATTATACGAGAAGAACACGGGATAAAATTTATTTTTTGTAACACGATACTTTCTTAAACACGTGCGATTTGCTTCTCTTTGTAATTTTTAGCGTACACTTTTGTGACTAACAAAGTTAAATGTAGCTTCGCAAAAAATCAGGAGAAATTAAGAAATAAGACAGAATAAGAGTAATTCACACACAGAGATACATACATATGTGTGTGTTGAATGGCATGCAAATTAGAAAAGTCTCACTCATGCACATGCACTCGGTAATAAGTTCCGATTGCTTAATTGGAAAAAGGAAAATATCCGTATCTCGAGATGGGAGTCTCTCTCGCAAGAGTGCTACCTTACTTACCAGGATGTGAACATAAAGAATCAAGATAAAACATTACAGTTGAGGAGAACGACACAGTTGTGCGATCATGTTGATTACTTCGTTGCTCCAGCGATAATCCTAAGGCCGAAAGCAGCAAGAGACAAGGGGGTGGGAACTGTTCTATATGAACTGCATCGATATGAGAAGAGTCGCTAAGACCTTTCGGGTGACATATGTAACTATTTCTCTATGTGATGTTCACTCTAGAGCATTGTCTTTCTAAGTGTCGTTATTATTTACAGGAACACTAACACTTATGAGATCCAGATCGATTCGGCCAAGACCGATTCTTTCAGCGAGCACTGAAGGAAATTTACACAATACTGATAAGTAATAAGAGCACATGATCTGTCCAATACAAATTTCGTCTAATTCTACTGCGAATCGGTCTTGAGCGCTTATGATCACGACATCACGGACAATACTACTCGATCCGCGCGATTTCTTAAATAATTATCCTTTTAGGATTGGAAAATTTAAAATTCGGATTGTGGTAGAGAACGTCGATTGGATGGCTTATCTAAGATGTTCTAATCTAATTTAAACATAAATATTTTTGGTTTGTCTAACGGGGCTTTATCTAAGAGCGTACTTCATTTATCTAAATCTCATTACAAGAACTTTTTGGAAAAGATCACATTTTCTAAAAATACTTTTGGTGAACACAATTAATTACAATACTAAGTATAAGCACATCTAATTTAGCAGAGCAAATTCGCGATAAGAGACGAAATTGTAATCTAGAATTATTTTCAGATAAAATAGAACAATCTACGTGATCTATATTCGATTACAAGATATTTCTGAGTTTTAATAAATTTTTCATTATTAAATTGTTAAAATTTTTATGCATTATACTGATATCACTAGTAAATGTTTTAACATATAGACAAGGATATTTTATAAGATATTATTGTATTAGAAAGAGACAAAAATAGTGATAAATATGATTTCTAATGCAAAAACCTATTTTTTTATATTAAATAAATAAATTTAATAGAATAAAAATTATGATATTAAGAATTTTAAGCACGACTGTATATGTGAATACAGCAAATACGAGAAAGAAAATCAAGATCGATCAAATTTTGGATGCTACAAATAATACAATATATATTCTTTTTTTTAAATCAATTAAATTTCTTACTTTCTTTCTTTTTTCTTTTTAATTTAAATTAATATAATTAATTTCATATTATATTAATTTAGGGAGGATTATTAGCGTTTCAGAATGATTGTGTTGAAACCGACTGTTATTATATATCGGCTCGCAATTATATCTGGAATAAATTGATTTAAAAAAAAAAGAACATATAATATACTATTTGTATCACCTAAAATTTGACCGATCTTGGTTTTCTTTATCGTATTGAAATCGTATGAAAAATTAATATATTATTATTCTGAATCTATCAATTTTTATAATCAAAATGACTACAGATAATGTTTTTTAAATCAAAATAATATTAATTCCAGAAAAAAAAGTCAAAAATCTCAAGGAAATAAAAGCATTGGTTCAGAAATATCTTGTACTTGCTACGGAACTAACACATCATCATAACATAAATATATCGTAATCACGATTAATATATGACTACATCTCGAACGGACAGAGTCTTTTCCGATTTCTTTTATCGCAATTTACTTCCGATAGGATCAAGAGAGGGAGGACATTCTCGAACAACTAAGAAAAATCTTTTAAGCTTGGATTGAGCTGACACCTTAAGGTAACGGATCTAGGAGCGAAGTGCGTAGGTGTTGGTAGTACGAGGGTGGTCGGCGGTTATGATAGTGATAATATTGGTGATGATAATAATATTGATCATTGGTATCGTAGTAGTATTGGTTGTGATGGTGACAGTTGTGGTAGTAGCTGTTTTGATCATCCCACTGGGAGGGCACCTCGGCCAGCAATGGCTCTAGCTCGGGGCGTGATCCTCGCCATTAATTACGAGTACAACTCCAGACCCACCCCCTCCCTGGCTACTCTCTCCGCTGCTGCCTAGTTATATACTGGTGAGACATCTTCTAGTTCACCTTTTTGTTTCTGAAATCAAATTAATCGCTATCCTGATATATTGACAAAGAAATATGCTGACAATAAATAGACTAAACATTATTAAACAATATAATAAATTGTTAACTCTTTCCCATAATTTACGAAGCATCAATTTTGAACCCATTAATCCAGTAATCGTGATACAATTATTGGGTTGTCCGAAAAATTCGTACCGATTTTGAAGGAAAATTGAAACGCAGAAGATTTAAATTTTAGTATACATTTATTAACTTATATAGGTGCCATTCTATTCTACAACCTTTCTCCATCTTTCAGACAACTTGAAAATTCCGTTCTAGAATATCTCAGGTTTTTCAGCGAAAAACTTTTCTAAGTGATTTTTTACCTCGACCAAAGAGTTGAAGCTTTTTCCATTAAGGGAATTTTGTTTGAATGATCGAAATAGATAGAAATTAGAGGGCGCGAGGTCTGATGAATATGGTGAATGGGGTAGAACATCCCAACCGAGCTCCAATACTTTTATCGAGTTATCAAAAACACATGAGGCCGCGCATTATCCTGATGAAACACGACGCCCTTCCGGTTCGCTATTTCTGGACGTTTTTGTTCAATTGCTGTTTTCAATTCGTCTAATTGGGAACAATACTTCTCTGAATTTATCATCTCATTGTTTGGTAAAAGCTCATAATACAGGATTCCTTTCCAATCCCACCAGACACAGAGCATGATCTTCTTTGGATGAAGACCGGCTTTTGGGGTGGCTAAAGGTGGTTCATTCCGCTTTCCCCAAGATCTTTTTCTCTCAACATTATTGTAAATGATCCATTTTTCATCCTCCGTCATTACTTGCTTCAAAAATGGTGTCTCCTCGTTGCGTTTATAGATCGAGTCGCAAATGGAAATGCGATCCATCAGATTTTTCTCCGTTAAATCGTGGGGAATCCATACATCAAAACAGTTTATGTAGCCAAGCACCTTCACAAAATGCTCGTGGATGGTGGATTTTGACATATTCAACATTTCTGCTAATTTACATGTCGTATAGCGTGTTATTCTCGATCAGTGTTTTAATCTGATCTTCATCTGTGGTGGAGAGCCTACCGGGCGTTCTTGATCTTCAAGGTTGAAATCATCAGCTTTAAACCTAGCAAACCACTTCCACACAGTTCTTTCAGCTACAGCACCTTCGCCATAAACAGTTCTTGTGTGGCATTTTTACCTTTCCGGTAAAAGAAAAGCATTAAATGCCTAAAATGCACTTTGTTTTCTTCCATATTCAAAAGCGTATAAAACTGACAAAAATAACGTATCGCAACCCAAATTTTTTTTCAAGTATGTCTGAAGTACCGTCTTTTATGATATTCACGGATCATTTGTTTTTAATCGTTCTGATATATTTAGACCTGTTTACACCACCTCCTTACACTACCTACCAAAAATCGGCATGAACTTTCCGGACAACCCAATATATGAATTTCAATGTTTCTATGTTGTTCCCTTACTTCAAAAGTAATATAACTAAGAGAATTAAGTTATTTCGGGAAAAACGGGAAAAAAACTATTTTTTATAATATCATTTTATCTTATATCTTTCCTGTAATATTTTTTAATGCATTTTACTTTAAAACAGATAAAAAACTGCATACCTGATGCTACGCTGACGTCTGTGCTCGGCCGCTGCGAGAACGTCTAAGGCCCCTTCTTCCTCATCCGTGTGGTCTCTATGTCGTTCGTGCTTCGCTTCTATAGCCAGTCGTATCATCGGTTCGAGGCTATTCGCCCTACTTCCAGCTCCGTGATTATTTCCGGTGTGATTTACCGCCGCCATGTTCAGCAAGCAGTTGAAGAAGGCCGATGGCTAAATTACGAAACGTGCGAAAGCACACTAGCTATCAGAGCTGATCAACAGGGATCTCATGTTTCGATCAACTTCTTTCTTTTCTTTTTTCTTTTTTATTTCTTCATTTTTTTTTTTAATTTCTTTGGCATGTGTATATAAATAAACTATATATACATATATGTACAGGCACATACAGGCTTTTTTTTCTTAGCGTTACCTCTCATCGATGGTCTTTCGAAAAATCGTGGTAGAATGTGAGATGCTTATAAAGATCGGAAGCATTCAAAGTCGAGAATCAACAGTGTAAAAAACGGTGAGAAAGATTCTCAGAATAAAAAGGCGGCCATGCTAGAGAAAAGGCATGCCGTGATGGTTACTTGTGTTTATTTTACGATTTTTCCATATTTCGAATTACTGTATATGTTCGAGAGAACGTGTGTGAATGCAAGAATTGCAAAAAACAGTAGCGTAAACGGTTGCAGCGAGGCAAATTTTATATATGCAATTTTATATATGCAAAGCCTGCATATGTTGATCGAGACTGCTATGTATATAAAAAAAAAGAAAAAAAATGTCATTTCCCTTTTTTCCTTTGTATATGAAAATGTTATAAGTGGACACAAATGCGTTAGTAAGGAAACGCGGTTAATCTTTTGAGAGACATAATAGTACTGCAAAAATGCAATTGTTAGTAAGCATGCAAACGAGTCAAATCCCGATGTTTTACCTTAGTTCTGCACATGTTCTATATATAAACAATAAATTATTTTAAACAATTTAGACGTTATAATAATAGAATTCTTTTTGTAACTTTTCTTAGTATTGCGAACTATTGCGGATAATTTATTATATTTTATATTGTTATATTCGTGAATAGAACATGGATAATTCATTCCGCAAAGATCATACAAATATGCCAAATAATTGTGAACAAAATTGAAATCGGTTGCTTGGTATGCAAAAAACGGGTCTTAAGTAGAAATATATTCCAAGATTGAGGACTCTGAAACATGCCACTATAAGATGTCTCAAAATTATTATATTGTAATAACAATTATTTCAGCCTTTAATTTTCATGAAATCGATAAATCTTTTATCATTTATCGCTTTAACAACTATCATTTTTGATATCCTGCATCGGATGCTTATGTCAGTGCTTGCTAAATCTATAAAAACAGGAGCTGCATCTATCGAAAGACACTTAGAATGCAAATAAAGAGGCGAATAAATCGTTTTTCATCTACTGCTACGAATTGCTTGCCACTAAAGTGATCACCAATGTTTACGAAGTATTTATCAATGTTTATATACTTTTCGTAAGCATCGATTGCTCGCCGTATTCGCGAATTACAGGAACAATTTATAGAGATACTTGCAGATTTTGGTGGATAACTTATTCGCCAAAAATTGAATATATTGTTATTATATTGAAAGATACTTAGTTTACTACATCACAGATTCTTAAGATTGCTTTATCTTGTGTCAGTGCTCGTTAACGCGTGTGCATGTGTATACAATATAGAAAGTGTGTCAAATGACGTATAACGTGTAACTGAAAGAGCAGAAAAATGCTCTAGTAGAAAGCGGAAAACTGTTCTAGTAGTAGAAAGCGATCGGATAAGTTGGGCAATACTACGAGTCTACTGAAATCACTGATCAAAAAAGTGTCTATTTATCTCCTATACATTATTGCGATAAAACTCATAAGAAATCAGAAAAAAAAAGAATCTTTTCGACAACAGCTAGCAGGAGCGTTATCATCAGCTGCCGCATTAATTTCGCACCGTAAGAAAAAAATATTTTTAGGATTATCTAGCATCTAAGAGAAAACAAACGACAAACTTCAAGTATCAAATCTTCACAGCGTCTGAAATTACTTGTTTAGATATTAGATGATCTTGAATCTGTTTTCTTATTAAGATCAAGTGAGGCAATATCTGTGTATAAACAATACAATGCAAAAATTTTCTAATAATAAAATTAATTATGACTTTTAGATAATTTTATTACTATTATATATATAATTACTATTATATATATAATTAGGTATCCATTATTCCATCAATAGTTCAATAATAACTAATAATCTTTTATTATTAGAAATTTTATATTATTTGAAATTTGTAATGAGAGCGAAGTTGAAATGTTTAGAGCAATGTGATTCCAATTTCTATTTTAAAAAGTTTGTATTGAACTAAATAAAGAAGAGATATTTGTCAAAATATCTCTTCGTGAGCAAAATGGACAATTCAGTAGAATGAAAAAGAAGTATCTATACGCTCTAAAAAATTGGATATTGCCAAACGTTTAATTAATCAGAAAAGAGATTTGGCAAAAAAAGAGTGTATAAGTCTAAGAGACATTTATCGTAGATTGAGGCAAAAGCTGTATATATGAATATACAATATTATATACATTCGAGAATCGATTATCTCACTGGCTACTTCTCCCTCTAAATAGACTCAAGAAATGGAGCTCTATAAGATCATTTACTTACACATAGCTATACCGGTATTGCCGATCGACGAAGAGCCGATTCTACACGCGCGAACACGTGCGTATGTAGCAATGTGTTACTCACGTCGGCAACAATACGACTAAACAAACAACTCTGACAACGTATTACAATCATATATATCACTGCGAGAGCCGCTCACGCGCGGAAAGTTATGGAGAAGAGATCATCTTCCCTTTGAGATTTATAAATATATATATATAATATAGGTTATGCTCGCTTTTGCGTTCACAACGCTTTAAGCGTTGTTTCACTCTTGTTGTTTAGTAAATATTAAACAAAGACAATTAATATTCATAAGCGCTGTGAGCGGCAAAGCGAACGCAGCCATAGCAATAGAAACTTATTTTGAAGTTAAAAATTAATTTAAAAATATAATTCTACAGTTTTATCATGTGCACACTCAACTTATTAAATATACTTGATATCGATAATGATTTTATATGATTATATTGATGACAAACTGTTTCATCTTTGATAATGTGTATATGATTATGTTAGTGTTAAATAAAAGGCTACTTTACATAAGAAAACTTTACAAAAGAAAAGTCGAAAGTAATTGTATACACTCATAACGAGGAAAAAAAAATTGTATGCAGTGTAAAATAGAAAAAAGACATACCAGAGGCGCATTAATTTTATTATAAATAAAAAATAAAAATTAATTTACGAGTTATTTCGCGCAATGTGTTTCATGTACATATTTTATTATTTAAAATATCAAAGAGATAAAAAAGTTATCAAAATATATAAAAGATTATTTATTTATCTTAAAGAAAAAGAAAAATAATTCGTGTAAATCATTAACACTTGAAACACTTCGCATATGCGCGATGCATTTTTTTTGCATTCATCGTGTGCCTCTGGATAAGTGTGAGTGAAGAGTGAAGTAAAAAAAATTGGACTGTGAAATATGTTATTTTAGAAAAAAATGAATTATATGCTGCAAAAGATTCATTTCTTTTTTTAAAGTAGTAATATTTTTATGAAAATATTAGAATTAAATATTGATAAAGAAATCGAAGAAATTTTTGCAATTAATGCATTAATGCGAATCGGATGTGATTAAAATTTAAAAATATAAATTGTACAATCAAAAAAAACAAAACAGTGTTAAGATAAGATCGTTATCGTTCTGGAAAATAAAGAGAAAAGACACAAGGAGATGATTGAAAAATATGTGAACATCCTTCTGGTTTGAATATATTTAAAAAAATAATTCAATCAATTATTTATTACTGTGTGCAAATTAATTATTACTGTTAACTGCTATTCTTTAGATGTCATTAATCGATTTACTTAAAAATTCGTAATTATTTTGTTGTAGAGATACTCAATTAAAAAATAATAAATATTATGTTCTTTGTTATCTAATAATCTAATTGAAATCTATTCAGTATTTTCAGGCTTACTACGATATACAAATATTTATCCATTCGATTTATCGATTGATTAAATTAAATTCTTTTATTGATATAAATATAACTTTTTTCAATTCAACATCGATCTTAAAAGTAATTTATATTAATAAATTATTTAAAACATATTAATAGCAATCGATGGAGCAAAAGCAGATAATCTATATTAATTATTTGCATAAATTTTGAGATACAATATAAGTACTATCACATCTAATTGTTTCTACAAACATTGACTTAGCTAATATAAATAGAGAGAACAATTGTGCATAAATAATTTGACTAAACAGTTTGTTGTTTCTGTCCATTTTTAATTGGATCACACAAATAGAAAGGCATTATTTTCTTCTTGAACGTTATTTTTTTCTCTAACGTTAATTCCTTTATATATGTATAATTAGATTTATTTTCCAGTAAAAATTTGATATAAATCTTTTTCGTAAGATATTATTATTTATTCGTAAGACGACTACAATTTAAATATTTAGCAGAATCTAATAAATTTAAATTAATTCAAGTATATCTATCTTTTAGAGATTTTTCCATCTGTACTCGAAAATTTCATGATGATATAAAGTTTTGAGTGACCAAGACTACATGAGACTTTCAGAAAATACTCTATTCAAGTTCATTCGCGAGCTGTCCTATCACGAGGAAACCAACGGCAATCATTCATTTCATTCTTAATTGATATCCTCCATTTCGATTTTTCAATTCGTTTCTTTTGCAATGATAGTTTAAATAATCAAGATAGAATCATTTATTTAATAAATATTTATTTATACCGATTTATTTATATCGATTTATACTGTACTTTCATTTCACAAACTTGTTTAACGGGAAACAAGAAAATCGAATATAATTCAAAAAAAAATCGTAAATGAAAGACCACTAAAGAAACTTAATACTAGAAATGCACCTTTAGGACTTGCTATCGTTCTCATAAAAAATATATAATTAATTTGAGAAGAAAAAAGAGAGACTCACCTGTTCGGTAGGCTTTAACTGACTGAACTTTGTCGATCTCCAATTTTCGAGTATCAGAAGGCAGACGTATATTTTACCCACAGTGAGCTTGTTTCTACCCAATTCTGGAAGAAATTGCAATCATTAGATATTGCAAAATATGTCTTGTTGTGAATAGCGAAAAGCAAGTTTTACCTTCATTTCTAGGTAGCAAAAGATCCAACATCTTTTTCGCTTGCAAAGGCCAAATATTTCTGATCGTGTCTCGCAGTTCTTCATTGGCTTGATTCATTTCATCGGCTGGAACAAAATGAAGAATTGGACTATTTGTATGATTAATTAGTAGTATAAAAAACAAAACGTAAAAAAACGTAAAAAATAAGAAACAAATGTATAATAAGGTATTTAAAATATATTCTTGAGACTTCCACGGGTGCTTTCTATGTAAAGATTATGCGTTTCGCGGGTTTCCTCCGTGTCCAGATCCATTCTTGGAATGCCAACGTTTCATGAACCTTGCAATCCATTTCATCAAGGCGAGGAGCAGTCTTATACTGAGTTGTTCCTCTGGGCCGTTCCTTTTATATTACGCTACTTATTGGAGTGATGGGGAGAAAGAAGAAAATTATGGAGGGAAAAGATGGGGAAAATTAGTCAGTTCAATAACGGAAGAATAGTTTTTCATATTTTATTTTTGTTGTAGCCATTATCTCTGTTAGATTGTTGTTTTTGTATCTCTATTTGCTTGTCTTTCTTGGAAAGTATGATGTAATGTTGTTATTGCGATTGTTTTATCAAATAATATTTGATGTTTTGTTTCGATGTTGTGTTCTGATAATGCTGATTGTGTGAAGTGTTTTAGCCTGATATCACATTGATATTCTTTTATCCGTAAGTTGACTATTCTCCCAATTTCTCCAATGTATACTTGCCCGCAGGAACAAAATATTTTGTATATTTCGAGTTGAGATTTCTTAAGATCTTTGGGATTTCTTAAGATTTGTTCTATTGTTTTGGATGATTTAAAGATTCGGATATTGTGTTTAATATCCTGCCAATTCGATTTGTTGTTCCTTTGACATATAGAAGAATAGGTAGGATCTTTTCGTCTTGTTGTCAGAGACCGTCTTGTTTGCATGTTTGCATATTGATTGTTTTGATTATGTCTTTTTTGTCGTGTCCGTTTTCCTGTAAGACTAATTTTAAATGGTTGAGTTCTGTCTATAGATGTTCTTTGTCAGAGATGGTGAAAGCTCTATGTACAAGTGAATTGATTGCAGACTGTTTTGTGGTGCGACTCGGCATGTAGATATCTACCTGTGTGTGTTGGTTTTCTGTACATTTGATAACCTAATCATCAGATTTCTTAGACAAGAACATGTAGGGAAGTTTTCCGTTTTCCTCTATGTCTATAGTGAAGTGAATATTTGGATATTGTTTATTAAGGAAAATAAGAAATTTACGGAGTTCGGGTCTGCCGTGTCTCCATATCACGAATGTGTCGTCTACATAACGGAACTAAACTTCTGGTTTTTTAAGTGTTTTTCTAAGGATCTCTTTCTCAAAATGCTCCATGAAGATGTTGACGATTACAGGAGAAATAAGAGATCCCATTGCCGCTTCTAAAGCTTGTTTATAAAATTGGTTGTTATAGGAGAAGTAATTGTTTATTAAGCAATGCTCTATTAGCGGGATGAAATCGGAGAGGACTTCATGTGAGGTCTTTATTATATTTAATGAGTCTTTTATTGGGACTTGTGTGAAAAGAGATTCTACGTAGAAACTTACAAGCAGGTCTACAGGACATAGTCGGATTTTTTGGATCTTTTATATGAAATCCGTTCAGTTAGTTATGTGTGATTCGGATTTTCCAGTGAGGGGTTATAGTGTTTGTGTTAGGAAGCGGGATAAATTGTATGTTGGGGAGTGTATGATGCTGATAATCGATCTGAGGGGATATTTGGTTTGTATAACTTTTGGAAGCCCGTATAGTCTTAGTAAGAGAGAATTTGTACATTCTAATGTTGATTTGATTTTACTGGAATGTTACTTTTTTCCACCAAGATCTAGATGTTCTATGCAATTGTATTAGTTGGTTCTTTGTCAATCTTTTTGTATGCTTTGTTTGAGAGAAGGTTCTTCATCTTTTTCTTATAGTCTGATGTGTCCATGATTACTGTCGTGTTTATTGGCTGGAAGCACGATGTCTGTATCCCTGTTCAGGTCTTGGAGGATCAATCGCTCTTGTCTAGTGATGTTTGATGGATTTAGCTCTGGAAAGAATATTGGTTATTTGTCTGCAGATATTATCTGCTTGTTCTGATGGGAGTCGGTAGATGGTTGACTCTATTTGGCTAATAATCTCTTCCTTTGGAATTTTTCTAGGTGCCATTGCGAAGTTAGGGCCTTTGGCAAGCCCAGATATAATATCTTGAGATAGGTCTTTGTTGGATAAATTTTCGACGTTAAGACGTAGAGAGAGTTGTGGATTTTTGTGAGAGATTTATATATTTCTGTTTCTTTCACAGGATTGTGCGTGAGTCTTCATTTGTTCGTATGTAATACGATCTTTAGATATCATGCCGCAATGATAGGATGGATTTTAAAGGTTTTATGGGAAATCTGGACTATTTGTAACTTAGTGAAATGAATGCATTCTTTGATAAGGATTCTCTTCTTTCTCTCCACCACTCCAAGTAGCGTAATATAAAAGGATCGGAGGAACAGTTCAGTATCAGGCTGCTCTTCGCCCTGATGAAGTGGACTGCAAAGGTTCACGAAATGTTGGCATTCCAAGAATCTGGACACAGAGGAAATCCGCAAAACGTATAATCTTTATAAGGTATATATTTGAAATATATTATTTTCTGGTAATGCTATGATGTAATGTTAGAAAATATTTTCATAAGAATGAAAGATGTGTTTCTTAAAATATCTTCGACTTCATTACACATGAAAGATACAAGAATTGAGAAAAATTACATTACTCAACAACTGTTTTCTGCAAAATGATAGTAACCATTTCCCTTTTCTACGCCACATAAATTTCTATGGACTCACCGCATCGCATTTTTATGCTGAGATTCTCGCGAATGAGGGCGAACAATGTTGTTGTGAAATTCGCCTTGCCATCACTGTCCACTGGCATATTCATTCTGATGAGCTTCTTGTATGCAAATCGATTTGGGCACTTGTTGCCAAACCCCAACGGCGGATCTATATTCTTTAGCATATCATATATCTCCGTGTAGTGGATCTTGCCAGTGGCATTTGGATCATATTCAGTCCAGATCCGCACAAATTCGTCGAGATGATGTGCGCCCAGAATCGACGAGTCCCGCGTGAGATAATCAAAGTTGTCCATGATGACGGCGACGAAGAGATTCAGCATGATGAATGAGCAGAAGAAGATGAACGACACGAAATAAGCATAGGCAATGTTGGAACCGCAACCGTCCTGTTCGGACTTCTCGGCTTTTGGATGACAGGGACGGCCCTTTACGCAGGACAACATAATGTTTGGCCAAGCCTCGCCCGTGGCACACCTGAGAAAATCACATATGAATATTTCTATTACGCTTTTCATGTTACTATATATCAATAGAAACGAGAACTGTGAATACTTCAGCAACCTAGCGCATCGCATACGCCAGAAAAACCGCAATTATTATGCTAATATTCTCAATCACATGCAGATCTTCCAATTCTAGTTAACCGATAACGCTTAACAAAGTTGTTATGAGATTAGTTAACTGCGAAATTAGTTATGGCGATTTGTTATACTTGAAAATAGATATCTACAGCTGTACAAATTCATTGTTAAGATATTAGGTATAGTAAAAAGAAATCCATTATTTTTGCATGAAATTGAATGGAAAAATAATGGATTTCTTTTTACTATACCTAATATCTTAACAATGAATTTGTACAGCTGTAGATATCTATTTTCAAGTATAACAAATCGCCATAACTAATTTCGCAGTTAACTAATCTCATAACAACTTTGTTAAGCGTTATCGGTTAACTAGAAT